GCAAATTCACGCCCTGTTATGCCTGTTAGCGGAAATCAGAATATTTTTTAAGTGACGTCCCAATAGGTACTGATGTAAGACTTCCCTCCGTCCTTCCATATAGATAGATCAATGCATAATATATAATTTTCCGATCAATCATTCACTTTAGTGTCTACTATATTCGACTCAAGTTCGTTCAATATTGTTATTTTTTTTATTTGTTTATTTTTTTTTTAATAAGGCACACATAACAAATTATAACCTTTGTTAGGTTTATATATAGGTAATTATGGTGTTAATGCTAGGTTATAATTCAAAAACATGTGTACACAACTTGATTAACATTTAAACATAACATTTCAATTTCGACACGTGGAAGACATAATAATTTGTAAACGTTATATACATATAATTTACATTAAAAGAAATTTAAACCATAAAACTATCACCACACAAGAAAAACAGCCCAGCCTTAGGATGGCCTTAACATGGGGATGGCCTTAACAACATTATATATTGGGGTCGATCAATTAACACGATCCTTATACTGTAGGTGGATTTATTCAGGGCTATTCTAGTATTATTGTTATACTTGTGTGAGTCCTGGCATATAATAGGGCATCCCTTTCTTTCCAGTGGGTATGTAAAAAGGGACTCATAAACGGGTCAACTTTTTATCAGCTAATTGTCGAATTGGCGGGAAAGGGATTGTTAGTAATGGAGACTAAAAATCCCATTGCTAGCAATATACCTAACCAGGTCGACCTCCACGCGGTTCCCCCTGGAAACTGTCATGATTAATTCTTCATGATGAATTCATCATGATAGGCTAACTGGCCTGTTTTCGTTCTCATCGATCACCCTTCACTGGTGCTCCGCCAGCGTATCCCGTTAGCGCGGGCGGGGTTACCAATCCATTTTCATCCAACAAAAAAAAATTGTCAAATTAGCTGACTCGTTTTTTTATCAATTTTCTATTTACTTACGTATATAATGTATTTTGATGTATTATTTCATAAATAAAATGAGTATTTACGCATGGCGGTATCATGGGCAAAATAGTATACTCTGTTATGTCCATGGTACTGCTCAGCAGCAACAGCGACGGTTACCACATTCCATCAGGTAGGCCGTCAGCTCATTTGCTATTCTAAGTTGCATAAAAAAAAGGAGAGAAATTATATTCTTTATATTTATAAATATAAATAGACAAATATAGATTTATTAATCTATTAAAAAAGTAATTAATGTAAATTAAATAATGGTTTTATTGTATCTTTTCATCTATAGGACTGTACATTTTTTACGAGGAAAGAAATACTCAGGTAAGTCGTTTACTGTAATTATATCCATTTCAACTGCAATTACGTGATAGTCGTCTAAGAAAGTAGTTACCTAGCTATACTACAATAAATTTTATTATTCAATTACTTTATATAACTATCCAGTTATTCTAAAAGTAATAAACTAGACAGCTTGATATTATCAACTGAAGAAATAACCTGTTAAATAAAGATCGAAAACCGCTACAAGTTTTTTGTAAGTCCCACAAGTATTTATTTTTAAATATATGTAAAATTCAGTGTTACCATGTATGTGTACAATACATTTTACTGTCCAATTACTATATATATAGTATCCAGTTATTCTAAAAGTATTAAAATAGACAGCTCGATGTAATCAACTAAAGAAATAATCTGTTAAATAAAGATCGAAAACCACTACAGGTTTTTTGTAAATTCCATAAGTATTTATTTAAATACTAGCGGCCCGTCCCGGCGTCGCACGGGTGGATATTTTTAACATTTCCCTTCACTGCTCTGCTCCTATTGATCGTAGCGTGATCGAAAGTATACTATAGCCTGCCCAGGAGTATGAAGAATAATTGTACCAAGTTTCGTTAAAATCCGTCAAGTAATTTTTGTTTCTATAACGAACATACAGACAGACAGACAAAAATTTTACTGATTGCATTTTTGGCATCAGTATCGATCACTAATCACCCCCTGATAGTTAATTTGGAAATATATTTCATGTACAAAATTGACCTCTCTACAGATTTATTATAAGTATAGATAATGAGAAATGCAGTGTTACCATATTTTCATCCAGTATGTATGTACACTGATGCTTCAAAGGTAAATTGTTTAACACCTACTTACTAACACAGATAGCATGAAGGCATTGTTGCTTTATAGTGATTAAATGTATATTTCTTTTGCCAAATAACTGAGCATCCGTAGTAGTTTTTTAGTTTAGTACGTATTTATGGGATATATAGGAATATGGATAAATTAGATGAAGTGACGACCTCAAATGCAATATGATAAATATGATAGGAATATGGGTGAGATATCGCAGTGAATTTGGAGGCATAACACCTTAGTCTTCAGTAATGCCAACGAGTGAATGACACCATGGACGTTACCATGTGTCTTATGATGTTAATGACCCTGTTCATGTCTAAAGGCAAAGGTTACGACTTTCCATTCAGTGGAGCCGTCAGATTACTTACTATTTTAAGATACATAAAGGAAATGAAAAAAGTCATTGTGCCTTTTTTTAATGGGTGAAAATATAAAGTTACTCGTAACCCATCGGTATACATTGGTAGAACATCAGTGAGAGATGATAGGCGAGAATGAAAACGGGCAGTTAGTCAATCGTGACGAATTCAACAAGAATTAACCACGATGGTTTTCAGGGGAAACCGCGTGGCGGTATATTAATGGTAGCAATGGGGCTGTTAGAACCAATTACTAACAATCCCTTGCCCCCTCCCCGCCCGCATTATGCCTTTTACAATTGTCTTAAAAATAAGAAGTTCTATTTCGAATGTATGCAATAGAATGATGTAGGGGTGGGAGAGGAATTGTTATGCGGACTAGTAGTCTTATTGATAGCAATATACCCTGTCAGATCGACCTCTACATGGTCCCCCCTGGAAACCATCATGCTGAATTCCACGTGTATTCATCACGATAGGCTAACTGACCTGCTCTTCCACTCTCTCCTATCATCTTCCACTGGTGCCTTGTCAGCGTTTACCATCCCACGCAGGTGGGATTTCATTATAATTTCTTAAAATAGAATGATGTAACTATTGTGTAAATGGTTGGCCCATTTACAGAGTAGTTATTAATCAACCTCAAATTAACAAATGTCTGTCCGATATTAGATATCACTCGGCCGAGACAAATTGCCCCCATTGGAAGTGCCTCTGATGGGAGTGGTAAACAAGCTGGCAGGCCGTCTAATGGAAAATAGGTTGTGTCGTATATGCGTTGCGGCATTTACCACTACTGAAAATTAAGGGGATTGCTGTGTATATACATACAAAATAAAATTTTCAAATAAAACCCTAACAATATAGAAAATAAAAAGGTTTCACAACTCAAATAAACTATTATTAATTAAAATTGATATTGAATGCTCTTTTCCTGATTTTTAACGCATCTTAATAGAAGAGATTTATTTATTTTCTTATTAATTCTTTATTGACCACATTAAAAAAAATTGTATCCAAAAAATCTATCCAATTGACATAAATATGTATACATATATATAAGATTAAACTGTACGGCTATATACCTATATTTTATAATGTTACTTCTATCAAGCCGGCGTCATTTAAAACGAAAAACGATTATATGAACTCTTTGTAATCAGTTTGTTAAATTTGAACTTTTAACACTATAAACTAGCTAGGTTGTTTATAATATTTATTATATATATTTATAGTTGGAAAATTAATCTATGTAACCACTAAGGATGCATATATTATTTTTCCAATTTTGTCAATATAAGGGTAATGCCGACTCCAATTTAACTTAGTGATTTTTTATTACCAAAGATTTCCTCGTTCTTAGTTAATTACTTACTCGATGGCCACAGACAAAATATGTCTATGTTTGTGAGTTATAATTTCATAGATAAAGGATAACGTACGATTCATGCGTACTACAAAAAATAAGTATGATACAACAGAAAGACAAGATTTTTTGAAATTATATCTTTTAATAAAATGTATGTAACACCACACACGACATTACTTTCAAAACCATAAACGAAAAGGCTTTTTTGTATATGCAAAACTCCGTACAATTAAGAGTTTACTTAAATTCGTTTGGGTTCTGTGCCTAATTATGAGGAAGTTTTCGAAGTCGATCTTTTTTGGGATTTTGATCTCTTTGGGCATTGCATAAAGGTTAATATATATAGGCACATTTATAACACATTGTAATGTATTTTTAATGGATTTTTTATATAGGTGATCTGCATAAAAAATGGTACCTTATAGATAATATTTGAACAGAAAATGGTTTCATTCACTTTGCCAGATCAGCAAATGGTCATTATTTCAATTTTATATTCCTTTTCTTTTATATTAAGACCTGCCCACTATGTACTTCTTATTATGACAAATTGTGAATTGTTAATCTTTGTCGGGTGCCCACGATACAGATTCGCCTAGTGTGGGGCTCATTGTATCTTGTTTGTAACGTTGTGTTTTTGTCAAATAATAAATTTCTATTCCGTTCATTTTTTATTGAATTTCGACGTTTGGTGGGTTGTTTCTACCTTAATTGTAATTTTTTGTCTCTACTATTTTTTTATAACATAGGGGGCAAACGAGCATGCGACTCACCTGATGGTAAGTGACTACCGCTGCCCATAATCACCCACAATACCAAAGGCATTAAAAGTGTGCTGTCGGTCTTTTAAAAAAGAATATGCTCTTTTTTTGAAGGTTATGATGTCGTATCAATTCGGAAATACTGCTGCTGAAAGTTGAGATTCCAAAGAGTGGTTGTGCGTGGAAGAAAGTGATTTTAAAAGATTAAAAGAGTTAAATTACTTAAATATTTTCATAATATAAATTATATTATAATAATATACTGTTATAATGTCAAAAATATCTCATCTCCATACACAGTTAAAGATTACAAAAGCTAAATTTACCTGTAGAGAAACTGCAATAAATAGATTAAACTGCAAGTACCTATTTCTTTTCGTAGGGTATTCAAACGTTTTCGAGAGGTCAACCCCGAATTGGTTCCGAAGAGAATGACGGAAAACCAAGCGCACACAATAGCTGTACCTGTAGAAGAAATAGAAAAACTCCCAGAACTAAAAGTACGTACTACTATTTTACTACATTTTTTACACGATTGCACGAAACAGAAGTGTAATTCTTTATAAGTTTCATGTTTATAAGTAAGTTTTTATACCACCATAAATTCTAAATGCCTAAACATATTTGGATGTATGGGACATCGTTCGAATCTTTACATAATCCAGAGTAACACGGACTGTATTTTCAGTGTTTAGTTGTATTTGTGTAATGTTTGTTACCTCAAAACTCGTGTCAGTTCTAAACCGATTTGGAAAACTCTTTTTTCATATGAAAGGATATATTTACATTTGGTCTCATAACAATTTTATCAAAATTGTTTTCTAGTTTACTTTTTTAATAAAAATTCAACATTGTGAAACACATTTTTATTGTTAAATAGTTCGATATTAGCAGTCATGTTTTTTGTTTGTAAAACAAAATATACTTGCTTAATGGATGAAAATAGAATGATAATACTACCAGTAAATATTGTATTATAACGTTACCTTGACAGTGTACTAGCAATAGCTGTTAGGTAAGGGTATTACAATAGGTAAATTGACCAATCATGATGAATTCTACAGAAATTAACGTTAAAATTGGTCCATTCGAGAAATTTACCAACGATTCCAACGACCAACGACCTTTTACCAGCAATGAATCGCATAGAGTTTGACCCGGCAGGATATATTCTTAATAATGAGACTGCATGTATCAATTTTTTGCCCAATATAACCTAATTACGCTCAAAGTGCCTAATTGACTCTCACTAGATTTTAAATTCCGAATTTCTAATGTTGATGTTAAAAAAAGTATAGATTTGTGATGGAAAAAAGTATAAAGTCTAAGTAGTATTGCTATTTATTTATTGTCTAAAATTATAATGCTCGTCGCCAGGAGAACCCATTCAAGCGTCGCATTTGTCAAGTGTTCTCCCACGATGGTTCTGGCAACTTGACTTTTGAAGATTTCTTGGATATGATGTCCGTGTTCAGCGAAGCAGCACCACGGGACATCAAAGCTTGGTAAGATACCCTGAAACAAATATTTTGTTAATAGAAAGAAATATTTCTATTCAGGTAAATTTAGATTTTATAATTTTTTGAATAGTAATTTTTTTCATTATTTTACCGCCAAAAAAGAACCAATAGAAATTTTCAATTTTTTTATTTCTTATTTTTAATTAAATGGACTTCTGTTAGTATAATTAAATGTGATTCATTATGGTAACCCATTAATTCTATCAAATAATGGGATTGTATAAAATGTACAATATTGTCTAATATGTGTATATTGTCACAATATATTTCACTGTTTCCTGTGGTTTTGCACGCGTGAATCCCTACATAAATTATCATACATATGTGTGACTAAATTTCATTCAAAGCCATTTATGCCATTTAATCGTAATTGCGTAACAAACATACAACTGTCTTTGCAATCTTTCACCTTTTCAATATTAGTAGAATGGAAAAAATTATAACCAGATTGATTTACCTGTATTTTATCACGACTATTCATGATTAAGTATGGTCCCAAATGTAAAGGTCCCAAAACTATTCGAGTCGAAATATAATGTGTATCATTGACATATTAATAAAAGAAACAACTTATGCATTTTTAATAATAAAATATTATAATATGCATATTACTATGTCCCTGAATATAATATTACATGTATTATCTCTATGTAGTTACAGGCAGTAAATGGCATTTATTATTTACTGGTTGTATTCCGCGGTTTCGCTCACATATTTTTTTTTAATTTGACTATTGTACTTATACATACTTAATACTTAAAATTATTATCCTTAATGTTTTGTTCTGTTAATTATCTTAATTATACAATACCTACTTGTACAACAATTAGTCCATCACCCTAAGGTTGTCTTGTAAAGATTGCTCTCAGCAATAAGACCGCCTTAATATACTTATACAATTGTATCGTTATATTAATTGTTTTGTTTATTCCCTATATTTTACAATGCAAATAAAGTTTTTTTTTTTATACAACTTATGTAGAATGGCCAACAAGCTGACGGCCCATCTGATGGAAAATGGTGACCATCGCCTATAGACATGACCAGTACCGTGTACATAACAGAGTATACTGTTTCGCCCATAATACCCCCCATGCGTTGCCATTCCTGAGGATTCAGGTGTTATTCCTCTGTACCCAGTAAATTCACGCCATATCTCACCCTTCAAACCGAATTACAGCCATGCAAACACAACTGCTTCACGGTTGAAACACGAATGGGACAGAGGTACCCAAGCAATCGACTTTTGTACAAAGTCTCCCTCTGGTGTCGCGATATTTACGCGAGTTCGTCCGCGTGACCTGGACATGTTCATTTACCGGGATAAAAAGTAGCCTCTATCCTTGTCTATCCCATTTAGTACGTATATACTAAATTTCATTGTATTTAATTAAGCCGTCAAGGCGCTACGAGGCAACGAACAAAACATACAATCTCACTTTCACATTTATGATATTGGTAAGGAAAAGATTAAATAGATACTTAAAATCCAATATTTTCACGGCACACCTGCCTCTCCTCCCACAGTCGATAGTCACGAAAATATAACTCAAGCCAATCCTAAATATAGCCGTCAATGCACGGAATTTAAGAGTAAATACTGTTTATGTGTCCTTCTGTATTATATGGGGGGGGGGAGTGAATGTTACTTATTATATCCGCATTACTAACAATCTCTTCCCCCTTTAGCTACTGTGTTAGGTTGACTGGAAGAAATCTCTTTTAGAGATAATTTAAAAAAACTATGGTTTCCAGGGGAAACCACGTAGAGGTCGACCTGATAGGGTATATTGCTAGTACCATTACTAGTCTATTTAACTCCATTACTAACAATCCCTTTCCCCCCGAAGCAGTTGTGTTTGCATGGCTGTGTATCGGTTTGAAGGATGGGATGTGGCAGTGAATTGACAGAGTACAGAGGAATAACACCTGAGTCCTCAGGAATGGCAACGCATGGGGGGTATCATGGGCGAAACAGTATACTCTGTTATGTCCATGGTACTGCTCATGTTTATAAGCGGCGGTTACCACTTTCCCTCAGGTGGACCGTCAGCTTGTTTGCCATTCTAAGTTGTATAAAAAAAAAGATAAATTCGCTTTTGCTTTGTTACTAAATTGTTAATACTGTATGTTTTAGTGCAATAAAGAATATATAATAATATGCCTTCACGCTGACGGAGTCATGAATAAGCACTGGTGAATCTTTTTTTTTATACAACTTAGAATGGCAAACAAGCTGACGGCCCACCTGATGGAAAGTAGTAACCGTCACCTATAGACATGAGCAGTACCATGGACATAACAGAGTATACTATTCCACCCATGATACCCCCCATGCGTTGCCATTCCTGAAGACTCAGGTGTTATTCCTCCACAGCCATGCAAACACAACTGCTTCACGGTTGAAACACGAATGGGACAGAGGTACACAAGCAATCGACTTATGTACAAAGTCTCCCTCTGGTGAATCTATAATAAATGATTATCTAACATTCCAGGTACGCCTTCCGTATATATGATCTGGACGACGACATGTATATAGGACGTGAGGACTTGTTGGAAGCGACTCGTTTGCTCACCAAAGGCGAGTTACACCCACAGGAACGTGACGACATAGTAGCTAGCGTGCTCGACGAGGCCGACGTCGACGGCGACGGGCGACTGTCCTTTATGGACTTCGAACATGTCGTAGTTCGTGCACCGGACTTCCTGTCCACTTTTCATATCCGCGTATAATGTAACTGAAGCAAGAAAGAAGAGAAAGGAATGAAACCTTATTTTTATTATAAAACACTCTATGTTTTGAGAATTAATAAAAGAAAAAATATTTTTTTCCCGAAATACGCAGAATGTCGGATACGCCAAATGTAGAATTCCGTTTCGATTTATTTGCGATAGGTAACGGAATGCAAAAAATTAATGACCTGCCGCAGTATCATCGTCATTGTTCACATCTTGTCGTCAACAACTCTGAATGGCAAACAAAACTGAAGACTGTTGGTATATATATTTTTTTATGGATAACAATGGAGTGGTAACCCTGCCTGCGGTAACAGTATACGCTGGCGAGGCACCAATAACTGTTGATAGGTGAGAAGCATAGGCAAGTCAGTTAGCTTATTGTTATGAATACATAAGGAATTCAGCATGATGATTTCCAGCGATGACCATATGAAGGTCGACCTGACAGGGTATATTGCTAGCAATGGGACTGGTAGTCGGCATTACTAACAATCCTTTTCCCCTGATGGAAAATGGTACATACAGTACAATCATAAATATGAACAGCACCATGGACACCACAGATAACACCATCACTCTATAGTATCCCTCATATGTTGCTATTTCTAAAGACTAAAGAGTTATGCCTTCGTACCCTGTAATTTCCCTGATCACTATTCAAACCGAAACATAACCTTGAAGGCACAGCAACAAACATGGAAGTGTGAAAGAATGAGATGTGAGTACCCAGACTTACTCTCTTTAAACATTCCTCGACACCAAAAATCTCCCTCAATTCTTATTCTTATGCAATAAAAACTACCAAAATGCCAAATACTACTATTAACATTTGACATTTTCGTAGTTTTTATTATATTTGGTAGGGTATAAATACTGTATGTGTATATACCTTTTTTTTTTATATGACTTAGAATGACAAACAAGCTGACGGCCCACCTGATGGAAAGTGGTAACTGTCGCCTATAGACATGAGCAGTACCATGGACATAACAGTACACACACATACTGTTTCGCCCATGATACCCCCATATGTTGCCATTCCTACTGATATCAAAAAACACAGGTTATTCGTAAAAATTAAAACCTCCACTATACCAATTATAACTATTATAGTACTGTGTTAATTTCTTTTAAATTAGGAATTTAGTGCGAAAGAAAAAAAAAAAAGAAAAAACTAAAAAATATTTTATTTTTAAATGACTGAGAATGGCTTCGTAACTACGCTAGTGCTGTCGCTGGTGCTGTCAAGATGAAAACAGGTCATTTAGCCCATCGTGACAAATTCCATAAGAATTAAATATAACGGTTTCCAGGGGGAACCGAGCGGAAGTCGACGTGATAAGGTACATTGCTAACAATGGGGCTGTTAGACCCTATTACTAACAATCCCTTTCCCCTCAAATATCTCATTAGCTAAAATAAGTTTATGAGACGTTTAACATTTTTATGAATAAAGAAATATTTTTTTAGCAAATTACATATATATATATATATATATATACATATATATATATATATATATATGTATATGTATTATAAACGTAGGATAACTTCCACTAGATGGAGTAAGGACCTCAAATGCATTGCAAGAATTCATGTCATTGGATACAGGTGGCTCAGGACCATTCTTTATGACAGTGTATAGGAGAGGCCTATATTCAGCACAGCTAATAGCTGAGACGGTGATGATGACGATGATTATGTATTGGAGTACCCTAATCATTATTTAAAAACAACAAATAATAGCGAAAGACCTTTTTTTGTAAAAACTGACGTGAAGAATAGATTTAATAAAATTTCGTTTCTACCAACTGCCTTGTTATTTTCCCGCTTCGCTGCTGTCATTTTTTATTAAAAGTTATGAAGGATAATATTGCGTCTTATTATCTTTACATTTTATTAGATATACTTCTAGATAAGTCAATTGTAAGGAAAATGTTTTCGCGAATATTGTTTTACAAAAAGATTTACTTACTAAAAGTATTTTTTTAAGTAAGTATTTATTTACTTGTATGTAATGAACACATACAGTGTAGTTTATTTATATTTCTTTTAATTGTAAATTTTTAATGAGAAATTTCGCGACTGACTCTTGGCCACAACAGAATATCAGTGTTTTGCTCTTTTAAGGGCAAAGCAATAAACTGAGTTGTGACCATTTTGTGTTACTATGGCACACGCATGAAGGAAGGGAAAGAAAGGAGATTGTTAGTTTATACATTTTGTTTTTTTTTTGTGTTTTTTTTTTTCATTCTTTTATATCTTTTACTGTGTATTATGTGTATGTTTTTTTGTATTGTAATTTGTGTGCATGTAAGTAATGTAAATAAATTATCTATCTATCTTACTTACTAAGTAACTTAAAAGTTTGGATTCGCATTATAGTAGCAATAGTATCCAGGTCGTTTTTGCGTTATTACCTGAGTAATATCAGTATCTCACTGATATAACTATATATTGGGTTTCTATGAATTTTGATGGCGGAAAAAAGGCAATAACCCATTTTGATATAAAATACCAGTCGGATAACTATTTAAATCAGATGCTTTTTTTATATTATATAACCGATATTAAATATATTAATTATTAGGTCAATATATTTATGATGAATTCATCAGGAATTAACCATAATAGTTTCCAGGGAGAACCGCGAGGTGGTCGACCTGGTTGGGTATATAGCTAGCAATGGGATTCTCAGTCTCCATTACTAACAATCCCTTTCCCCCCATTAATATATAGGTATTGGTACATATCACCCACTCCTTATTTCAGCCCTTGGTAGTAATAACGTACGAGAAAAGCTCACAGTGTACTGTATATACTGTAATATTATGGCAAAAAAACTTGGGTATGTTTTTTATGCAACTTATAGTATTATTTTTATACAATTTAGAATGGCAAACAAGCTGACCTAATGGAAAGTGGTAACCGTTGCCTATAGACATAAGCAGTACCATGGACATAACAGAGTCAAACCGAACCCCCTTCAAAACGAAAAACAGCCATGCAGACACAACTGCTTCGGGGAGGAAAGGGATTGTTAGTAATGGAGACTAAAATCCTATTGCTAGCAATATACCTAACGAAGTCAACCTCTACGCGGTTCTCCCTGGAAACCTGGTTAATTCCTGATGAATTCATCATGATGGGCTAACTAGCCTGTTTTCATTCTCATCTATCACCCTTCACTGGTGTTCCGCCAGCATATCCCGTTGGCGCAGACGGAGTTACCAATCCATTTTCATCCAACAACACAATTGCTTCACAGTAGAAACAAATGGGAGAGAGGTGCCCAAGCAAACGACCTTTGTACGAAGTCTCCCTCTGGTACTACCCTGATACCTCTATCGCTGATATTACCCAAGTGCACATATCTATTAAATTATTATAATTACCTATACCTAATAACAAAGTACCGCGTTCGTGATTCACTGTTCATCCCAAAGGTGTACTGGTAGTCAATGCTACTTGCATTAAGTCCGCCTTTTGTACCATATTTTAATTTCATCAATAAAGTTATTTAAATAAATAAATATAATTATTTAATTTTAGCATTTATTATATCCTATTATTTTCCAGTTAAATACTGTCCGCTTGTTTAATATTTTATATATAAAAATATAAAAAACTAAGCTCCGCCGCGACAGTTTTCACTGCCGTGACCAGGATTCGAACCTGGGTTACTACGGTTTTGTATACGTTGCGAATCCACAACGTAGGGTCCTAACCACTAGACGATCACGGCTATCGGAGCTCTTGTTGTACTCAACTAAAATGCAGAACACTTTATGGTCATTGAGATAATATCACTTTCTCAATCTTAAAGAAACGTTCACGGTTGAGTGAACAATGCCACAAGAAAATGGTTTTATATAAATGATACCTACTAATATTAAAAAGAATTAACTCCTGACTTCTTGATCTATCATCACAAAGCCAAATTTACTGAAGTAATAAAGATCAAATTTGCATAGCAGATTCTTTGTTTTTTTTTTTTTATGCAACTCAGAACGGCAAACAAGCTGACAGCCCATCTGATGGAAAGTAGTACTCGTAACTGTCGCCTATAGACGTGAACAGTACCATGGACATAACAGAGTATACTATTATATATATATGATCATTTCTTGTTATTGTTTGTATCTATAATAAGTTTACTATTGTAATCTTTTGGAGGAAACAATAAAGAGTGTCTATCTATAATATGTCACCCATCAGTCCTTAGGAATGACAAAACTTGAAGGGCTTTAAGCTTAAAAGATTAAAGCCTTTATGCGTTGCCATTACTAAGGACTCGAGTATTGTTCGCAAGTATTGTAAACAAGATATTAAGTATCCTCTGTACCCAGTAATTTCATTGCCATATCCCACACCATTTCCCTCAAATCGGTGAGGGGGGAAGGTATTATTTAGTAATACGGACTACCAATCGCATTGCTAGCAGCATACCCTGTCAAGGCGGGGAGGAAAGGGATTGCAATATACCCAACCAGGTCGACCTCATCGCGGTTCTCCCTGGAAACTATCATGGTTAATTCCTGATGAATTCATCATGATGGGCTAACTGGCCTTTTTATTCTCATCCCTCACTGGTGCCCCGTCAGCGTATACCGTTAGCGTAAGCGAGCTTACCATTCCATTATCTTTATATCCATTAAAAACCCTTCAAAACGAAAGGCAGCTATTCAAACACAACTCCTTCATGACAGAAACGAAAATAGGACAGGGTTACACAAGCAAACGACTTTTGTACAAAGTGTCCCATCTAGTAAACATTAGTGTAGTAATTGTATGAACTTTATAAAATTTTTACATTTATATGAAATCTAGGAGAGTTGGCACAAAAGTTGAAAATGAAAATCAAAGAAATAAGAAAAAATATACGAGAAGGCGTATTTAAGAGGCAGTCGAGTGGGCCGTCAGAACTGTATAATGTCTACTCCAGAAGTCGAGCAAAGCTGTCAGTGTGGCTATGCGCAAAGACATGTCTGAGACTACAAATTAGCCTTTTTTAGGCACTTAACCCCAAAAAATAATCTTAAATACTCCAATGGTTATAGACATGCCCTCCTAAAAGGCTAGCAACACAACTGCAATTCCTCGGGGGGAAAGGAATTGTTAGTAATGAAGTTTGACAGCCCCATTGCTAGCAATATGCCTTGTTAGGTCGACCTCCGCGTGGTTCCCCTGGAAACCATCGTGAACAATTCTTGTTAAGTTCGTCACGATGGGCAAACTGACCTGCTTCATCCTCACCTGTCATCCTTCACTGGTGCCCCGCCGGTGTATGCCGGTAGCGCGGGTGGGGTATATCATTCCATTATCATTCATAAAAAAAAACTGCAATTCCTCTAACGTTGGCGGTGACTATAGGCGGCGGTAATCACTTACAATTAGGAGAGCTGCATACATGTTTGGTCCCTATGTTAGAAATAAAAAAGTTGCTAGTGCTCCCTTTTGTTCATGCCGCTATCATCATAATTATAGCAGAAAATGCCATTCTTCTATACTTTGTTACAAGTTTTAAACAATACATGTGTTCATAAGATGCTTTTTAAGAGTATGACGTGAATGAACTGAATTTTTTTTGTGCGAAAAAGCTATACGTTATACATTATATCCAGTGGCGTAACTATACCATTTGGGGCCTGTGGCAAATTCTTTTGATTGGGCCCTATAATTTATTTTCAAGTAAAATAAAATACTCAGGTACAAGGTAAAAAAAATCTGAGCCGGGCCCCTTTTGGATCGGGGGCCCTTGGCATTTTGCCAGCCCTACCACCTTATTGTTACGCCACTGGTTACATCATACGTTATACGTAAGTACCAATCAATGATGACAAATGAAAATAAAACTAAGTCAGCCCATCGTGACAAAGAATCAATCACGATGTTTTCTAAAGAAGAGGTCGACTAACAAAGTATATTGATAGAAACAAAATTTTATATGTAAATCTAATTTTTCTAAACTATCCGCTAGCGTCTCTAGAGACGTAGTTACATTTTTTAAATGAATTTGATGAATAAACGCCATAGCGGTCGTAACCAAAATGTTTGTACAAAGTAGGCCCTCAGGAGGAAAACATTAATAGGGTCAAATATAACTTACCATAATATTGAACATTAACAAATATGTTACAAAGGTAATAATAATAATAATGTTTATAATAATAGTAAAGGTTAATAGGTAACCTGTAAGTTATTTCTTGCTGTGTTAAGATTTTATTATTTCTAAATATATTTTATACCTATCTATTTAAATCTAATACAAATATAATTCTTTTTTTTTTACAAAATTCCTTAAATACTAATAACAATTAAAAGTAATCTCCCAACGCACCACGATCGATCTATTTAAATTACATTACAATCATTTATTTTCACTAAAATAAATACACATTACATTACAATCATTTATTTTCACTAAAATAAATACACAAAATATTATAAAATATAAATGTCGTTTAAT